AGGAAGATGAAAAAAAAAATAGAAGTATGAGATAAAAATTATTTGATTATTAGATTAACAATTAATAAAATTTATATTAAAAATGAAAAACAAATGTTACTCTATATATAAAGAAAATCTATATATCCAACAATAAATAATTTATATATATTATATAAAATACTACCCTCAAGAATTAAATAGGCACTAACATTTGTTATTTTTGTTTTAATTATGAGAAGAAGAAACTTTGTTAAAAAATAAGAAATATTATTTTTACATTAAAATGTAATAAATGTATTTATTATTTTAACTTTTCATTTTCTTTCTCTTCTCCTCTTATCTTTATCTTTTCAATTATTTTATCATTATTAAGATGAATAAATTCCAATTTTATAACGGATAAAAATAAAGAATTACAAATGTATATTAATTATTAAATGCATGCTAAAAACTAAATATATTTATATGGAGGTAACACTTTATCTTCCACATTAATTTAAAATTAATAATTATTTATTATATGATTTTAATGTCATAATAATTTCATATTTTAAAATGTATTTATAAATAATAATTAATATAACTTAAAACTAAAACTAATGTAAAGAAACTATAATATTCTTAATATGAGTGACATTAATATATCTTATAAAAAGAAAGAAGATAAAGTTATATGTAAAAAATTGATTAAAATTATTAGTTTTATAAGTCAAAAAGATATATGGTGAAAAAGTCTAACAAATTAAAATAGATATTTAGTTAAAGGAAATTAAAAAATATATTTAGTTGATAAAAAATAAAACATGTAAAATAATTGATTTATTAAAGAACGTATCAAATGTATTTATTAATGAATTTATCATATATTCTCTTTATACTAAAATAACTATTGTTTTTTCATTTTTTTCCCTTAAGTACTTAAAGGTAATTTTTATATTTACCAACAATACCCTTAAAAAAAAAAGATAAGAAAAGAGTTTTTGCAATTGGAAGATTAATTAAAATGAATGAACAATGATGAGGACCTAAAAAAAATATTTATTTATCTTAAAAAATAAAAAATAATAATTAATTTAAAACAAATTTAAAATAAAAAATACTTATTTCTATTAATAGTCTCTTAATACTTGAACCAATTACAAGTTTTTGATTAAAAAATTATTATAATATTAAATAAATAATATAAGAAATATAAAAA